TAAATATTTTTAATTAGATATTGTTCCGTGTTTATATGTTAATTTATATTATCAAATTTACCACTATATTTGCATGTGTGTGTAATTCTTGTGAAAATTACATGCAGGTACTTATTAAAGAAAATTACTATAAAAAGGAATAGGAGGTGGGAGTTGTGGTGAGAGATGTGAAGCCTAAAAATTCAAAATTGTGAATGATTTCCTTAAAAGGAGATGCTAACATCTGAGAAACAAAGTCCTGTAATTAAGGTTTGGCTTTGTGCTTGCTCTGCTCTTAATATGCCTGAGTGCCTTGGCACAAATCTGCTGGTTGTTATATCTACAAAATGGAGAAGGCTTTTTTTCAGCAAAAGTTATTACTAAAGCAATAGAAAATAAACAAAACTTGTTGGACAGTTTATAGTTCTTCTGATCTCTTTCAGATATTTATTTCATTGTCATTTGCACAGTTTTAGAATTTAGGAGGGACTATTTAATGTTGAAGGGCTGAACCAGATATCAAAACTTATGATTTTTACCTCTGTAAATTTGTTTTAGAGTTTATGTTTTCCTCTGACAAACCTATTCTTAAGATGGAATCCTGAGAATCAAATTGAGTCTTGTTCTTGTTTACTTTTAGATGCCTGTCTTAGATGTCAAGCTGAAAACAAACAAGAAGATTGTGTTGGTATGTAGTGATTTCATTCGCTTGTTTTTCAATTGAAGCTTCTCCCAGTATGGTGCATTTTAAAGTTTGAAGGGAATACTGATTTTATTAAAGGGAATACTGATTTTATTAATGCTCAAAAGTAAACTGGTGTTTCATTCTACATTGTGTCATCTTTTTACATTAGTAATACTTTATGCTTTGTTTTTGAGCACTAATAAAATTAGTTTTCATGTCAATTGTGCTGTAAACCTGTACACAACTGTCAAATTTGCTGTCAACATGTACACATCTGAGAGGTTTAACTTCCAGTGTGAGCATATTTGAGGTGATCCTAATGTGCCTTTTTGAAGTGGGTAGGAAAAAGCTACTTTTTCTTATGAGATGCATGCCAGAAGGCACAATGGTAACAGCAATAAAAATCTGGTGTTCTGAAATACATGTATGTCTGGGTTACAAAGTGGTATTTTTCCCACTCTTAATTCAGACATAGTGGAGGCATGGCTTGTTTGTTCACTTTCCTTTTTAAAAAGTGCAATCACTTGAGTTTGCTATAATTCTATTTAAGCATAAAAGTACTTTCAGTACCAATGTATGCAAAAGAAAATCTTAATTGTGACATGTTCAATCTGGAAACAGTGAAAACTGTTTCAAAGAGTTTGCTTTAAACCTTTAAGACAACTTTTAAACCAGTGGAAAACCTTTCCACGCCGTTGTGCTTTGTGTCTTGAAGTATATTGTCTCAAATTTAATCCACTGTTGGTTTTTGATGATTGTTTTAAAGAGAATAGGATTTTCCTGTTCTAGACATCTTAATTGGCTTGCTAAGTGTCCTATTTAAGATAGAGAGGAAAACGTATGATTTACAGCACTCCTTGGATTGATACCCTTCTGTTCTTGTGGGGAAAATGAGCTAATAAGGGAAAAAAGCAAAGTAACTAGTACTATTCAGGAGCAAATGGCCAACAGATAACACTTTTTGTTGTGTTGAAACAATTGTAGCCTGTGAATCAATTCTGGTCCAAGGTCCCATTTTAAGGCTATATACTATGTCACATGTGGCTCCTTGGTATCATACATCTCAGTGGAAACATTTCCCATGAGAATTGGGCTGACCCTCTCCTGTGATAGTGGGTCTGTAGTGCATTGCCTTTTTTTTTGGTACTGGGGAAGATACAGGGAAGAACTTAGATAGTTGCACTTATTTCCTGGACAGAACTGATAAATGTGTTTATACATTCACAAAACTGTGTCACTTTATACAGGAAGGTGAGAATATATGCAGTTCCTTTTTACATAATTGGAAATAAGTAAAAGGTTGATGAGAGAGAACTGATTATCTTCAGGATGATCATAATACTCCAGTTTCAGTGGATAAATTAGTGATGACCTGTTTTGTCTCTAAAGCTTCCAGTGGCTGTAAATATTTGATAATGATAGTTTGGACCTTGCTGTAGGTGTTGATTGAACAGCTGAGTGTGACTGGAACATGTTCTTTCTTCTCTTTCAGTGGTTTGGGGAGAATGCAATCATTCCTTCCACAACTGCTGCATGTCCTTGTGGGTGAAACAGAATAATCGCTGTCCCCTCTGCCAGCAGGACTGGGTAGTCCAGAGAATAGGCAAATAAAAACTGGAAGGTTTTTGTCTGTTGAACTTGTTGAAATAGTGTGTGTCTTATGCCATATGCTCAGTGCAAACGAACGGAACATGTCAATCACAACATGACTTGTTTAGTTTGTCTGCTGCAAAGGTCAGTGTGGGTTTGATTTGTGCTCTTTGCTGTAGGAGGAGGCAATGGTCAGTCTTACTGCACATGTTCTACAACTGAAAGGAGAGACAACTCGTTAAAATGTGTCTGCTACAAATAAACGTTACCTTTAGCAGAGCATAGAAGTGTGGTGGTGCAGATTATACCCTAATTTAATGTTTTTCCATAGATAAATGAATTAATTGAAAGGGTGACCTTACCTGTAAGTCTGATACACTGCATAGTTTACTGTCAAGATAAGGAAAATGTTTTCTAAGTAATATTGTATACAAAAACACAGTCAATGTGTTTTTTAGGAACTATTTTGGTTTTTAATCTAAAATGAAGAGTGTGTGAAACATTTACAATGTGCTTTCTCCATCACGCTGTATTAAACATTTCTAATTCAGGTTTTCTTTATGACTTTTGTTGCATCTCTAAGTCTGCTGCTCTGTAATAATCTGTACATAATTTCTACAGCATAATATTAAAATTTAACCACATTAATAATTTTTTATTTATATTTCTGTTAACGATCATGGAGACATGTATTTTTAATCCAGAGAGATTTGGTACAAAGACATGGATTTCATATCAGTTAACTAGAGGTGTAGACAATCTTGCTGGTTAGCTCACTAATATAGGAAGCAAACAAAATGGATAATTGAAATATCCCAAGGAAAACAAGCACTAACTAAATCTATGGGAAAAAATGTTTAGTTGTGGTTTCATGAACATTCAGTTAATAGAAATCTCTTTATTATCTTTTTACTGATTACAGTGTTTTGGAAGCATTGTTTCATTTTTGTGGAAATCCTCAATATATCATCTTTTTTATATGAATTGTGATCTTTTTCTTACAAATATTTAAGTGCTTGCCTCTGACTTTGTCTTTTCCCTAAATATCCAAAGTAATTACTATTAATCTGAACATATGCTGTGGGGTGTTTTTAGTATGTGTAATGGAGAGGTAGAATTACTGCTTTAAGTCTGTAACAAATTCAGGATTAATAAAATGGTTAATCAACATGGGTAAAATTGAAGCAATATTATATGCATTGTTTACTTAAAAATTATCATCTTAAATGTTTAATGTGTTTCTCCGCAGATGTACTTCTATATGGTTCTGTTTGAGTACATTTAAAGAGGTTTATCTTCACTGTATAAAGTACTTCCAATGGCAATCTTTGTGTCATCAAACATTTATGCAGAGTTTTCTGTGGTTTTCTTTATTACTTGTAATCTTGTTTTTAAGATGTTTTAAATTTTTTAAATACAGCTTTTGTCTCATTACACACTGAGATCAAAAAAATCCTCTGTGTCACTGTTACACTGTGTCACATCCCTTGTCATTATCCCAGATGATGTCTGTCTTTTAACAGTAGTAATGAAGTGCCTATAGCATTTACACTGTTGAGGAGTATTTCTGCTTGTGTACAAGTATTCCCAAAATTTTTGCAAAAAAAAATATGAATGGATGTGCAAATAAATTTTAGCTTGTCGTAGTTAAACTGTATCTTACCTACTGTCTATTTTCTCTGCCTGACTTTGGTCCCAGGCTCCATCCTGTAACCTCTGTTAATGCCATCTAGTCCCATCAGAGGACTTCTTTCTTCATTTTTCTTTGGTCTGTAGGCGAATATGGAGAGTAACAAGCCCTACTTTTAGTTCACATCATGTGCATGGCAAGAGTACCTGAGAATTACAGTTGTAGAAGAGTTTTTCCAAAGTGTTGGGTCAAAGGGGTATTGACACAAATGAGGTGTTAGGAAAGTTAATGTTGAAATCAAAGCAGCTGATACTTGTGTGTATCTGTTTGTGTATTATAAGTATCTTGTTGACCGGTAATTGAGGTTCGTCTAGAACATAAGGTAATGAATTTTAAGTCCTGCATGTTTTGTCTGTGATTTAGAGATGAGCTTAGGTCCCACTCTTTCTATAAGCTTTGCACCAGAGAAATTTTCTTTTCCAGATCATATCCTGATATTCCATTAGCGTAGTTGTTAGTAAGTCTCCACTTTTAGCTCTGTCATTGTTCACCTCTTGTGCCTGCAAAATAAATCAGTTTTGCTTCTCACCCAAACGTACTGTTTTATGAGTAGGTAGCACTATCTTAAACAGCTTTTATCAATTAATAGATTAATGCTGAGCTACTTTTTTCCAGTGTTTAATAAATACTGATTTGGATAAGTCAACAAGCACATCTAGCTAGACTCTTCTCTCAAAAGTGACTGGAGTAATGAATATGAGTTGAATGATCATACTGTTAGATTTTGCTTTTCATGAAATTATGTTCTTTTAGTGAAAGTTTACATTCCATAGAAACTAGGAAAGAGTCTACTTATCAGAGTAGAAGGTTTTTGGAGTGTAAATGTTTGTCTTCCATAGGTTCCATAAACATTAGGTGTTCTCTTGATTTGCTTAGACTTGAATATATCAATAGCTGGTGTAAGCTTGAGTTCAGCCTTAGGACCCCAACTACCTAGCATTTGTACTCTGCTCTTTGAGCTGTGGTGGCATTCTGGCTAAATGTAAAGAAGACTCTGCTGAATTTCAGGACCTGAAATGAAAGCTTTGTTACCTCCTTTCTTTCCTCTCTACCCAGGATATTATAGGAATGTGTTGCTGAAGGCACCCTTTTCAGGAAAGCCACCAGGAGAATTCCCCATTCCTTCCTCTGGCTATTTTGAGCTTTACCCACACTGCACTGTTCAGCCCTTTATGTAACCACCTCCTGGCCCTGCTTGCTCTCACCTGGCAGAACTGGCCAGCCTTTCAAATACTCTGCCTCAGAGTACCCCTGTTAACATGCACACACAGCGGTTTGCAATGGATGGCCCCCTCAATCCCACCTGGAAAACACACCTCCAAGGTAATTTGGTTAAATATGAGTTTTATGTCAAATGGATTCAACAAAGATTAATGCTTGTAAAAACAAAATACTGCATGGTTGTAGAGTGGCAAAAACAGCCAAGAAGGGCTTAGCACTTACTGTAGGGAGTCTGAAAGGTGCCTGTTATTACTCTTGATGTTTAGTTTTTGTGATTCAGCTCTTCAACTTGCTCTAAGACTGGGGGAAGGGAGGGGCAAAGAAACTTGACCTTGACCTCAAGAGTATACAGCTTGACCCCAGTGCTACTGGAGGAATCATGAAACTTCTTTTCTTGTTCCCATAATACCTTCCTTATATTTAAAGAAAGTTTTAACAGCCAAGTCACCTGACCCCACAGCAGAAGGGGGCTTAGCCTAGTAAGTGCCACACATCATTCTTATTCTTTTGAGGGAAAAAAATACCTCCTGGTAGGCAGCCAGCAAGCAAAGTCAAGTGGAATTTGCCTTCACTTGATTATAATCAGCTTTGTCCCTTTGTTGATGTCACCTCAGCTATATGCAGTTGCCATCTTCTCATCCCGACACTTTCTGTCACAAAGCTCAGCAGAGAAAATAAACTGAGGCCAAAACATAGAAGTGTTTTGGCAAGATTTGGCTGGTCATGTGAAGTGTTTTTCCTTTTTTCTGTGGGTAGGAGATGAAGTCAGAAGTGTATGTTGTTTTGTATGTAGGGATCACTATTTTTGGTTCTTAGCCTGCACGTAATCTGCTCAGACAGAGCAACGCCAGGCATCCGGGCTGGCATGAGCTGTCTGTGGAGCTCATCGCTGATGTTGAGTATAACTTGAGTTTTGGAAGTGTGGATGCTCAAATCCTGTGGTAATTTAAAGCTCAACATCTCATGTTCATCTATGTCAACTTCTGTTTAGGCCTGGCAGATTTGTGATAAAAGCTTTTCATAAAATCAGATCCCAGCATATGTAACTGTGGCTATGCCGGGGTTCTTTGTCGAGCGAGGGAGATCCAGGGCTGTCCTGACTGTGGCCGAAGTGCCCCTGAGTTGGAGAGAGCATGTATTGCAGACGGCAATCTCTGCATGTTCCCAGCGGCCAGGGACAGTGCAAGTAGGGGGAATCTCAGTACATTTAAAGGTTGTCAGAGCCCATTCTGAAAAACACCAGCTGAACCACGTGCATTTGGTGCTGCTGGGAAGGTTTGCCCAGGATGTCATCCCTCGGCTATACATAGCAAACTCAAAGCTCCTTACAGAGAAACCTCTTACCAGTCACTTTCCACAAATGGTGCATATATCTAAAGGTACTTAGGGAAAATCCTTGAGAGGTATTTAATGCAAAAGCAGTTGGTCTCTCTGGTGTTTTTCAGAAGACCTCAGCACACCACTGGCAGCAGAAGTGCAGGGCAGCTCCGGTACAGCACTTGGGCCAGTTACTCATTTTGTGTGAAATCAGGCTCTGCCACCCCAAGAGCTTGCCAAGATGTGTGACATGGGGGGACTCGACAACCTGATTGCCAACACGGCCTACCTCCAGGCGAGGAAGAGTGGAGAGGCAGACACCAAGGAGATGCAAAAGAGACGTAAAAGCCTTTCACTGCCCAAACTTGACCAGTGCAAAGAACAGAGAGAGTCCATTGTTGCTGATTATGAAAGCATCTGTGAGCAGCAGCCCATTGGCAAGAAATTCTTCAGAGATTTCTTAGAGACAGTGCCAGAATATTTGGTAGCTAGGGACTTCCTGGATGAGGTATCAAACTGGGAGCTGGCAGAGGACAGCATCAAGAACAGTACCATGGAAAATATGGTCACCAATTTTCTTAAGGAAGGCTCCAAAAACTATCTGTCTTTCATGAGCTCTGACTTGGTCAGCAAATGCCAGGCAGCTACTGCAAAAGACTATGAGAATGTCATGCAGCTGGCCAAGGAGGAAACCAAAGTCTTCCTTAAAGACAAGCCCTTCCAGGATTTCCAGACCAGCCCCTTCTATGACAAATTCATCCAATGGAAAGTTTTTGAGAAGCAACCGGTAACTGATAAATACTTCTATGAGTTCCGAGTGCTGGGCAAAGGTGGCTTTGGAGAGGTAAGAGCTGCACTTTTAAGGATGTGAGTCATCCCTTCCCTTTCAAGACCAGCAGGTGGGTTTGCAAAGAGCAGTGGATTAAGAAATTGTGTAAAGATTTGCAAAACTGCCCCTTCAGATTGCCCGTTTTCCAGAAATTGGGCTAGGTTATTTGTACTGTGATAGAGTTAGTGAAGAGCTGCTTTGAAGTTTTTACATTCTGTATCTATGCTAGTAAAAAAACAGGCTTCTTTACAAAAACTTACATGACTGTCCATACAGTTAAGTATGGATTTAATGCTCCTTGGCACCATTTTAGCCTGTGGTAGCTCACACGGTCCCAGATAATTCCTAGCTGCAGTGTAGGGAATAGCATGATCTGTTCCCAAATTACAGTATGAGTGAGACTACTTTTTTTGAGAGGCAAGAGAGTTAAACTGTACAGATGCAATCTGTATACGCTGCTTATTCTCTTGGTTACAGAATTTTGTTCTTGTCCTTGTTCCTCTTATTTGCTAATACGTGTCTGCTAACGGTGTCCTGAAGAACTTTACATCAGGTCAACCATATACTGGTTCAGAACAGAACAGATTGTACTTTTGTTTTTTCCCTTATTTTCTCTGCTAATACACTCTTCCATGGAAGTTAGCATCAGCAGCTACTTATAGGCATCAGTGATTCCCCAATTTCTGCCTACTACTACTCTTGATATTCCAGTCCCTGTGTAAAATTCCTTCATTACTTTTCCGTATGCATCTTTTCTAGGTTTGTGCCATCCAGGTGAAAAATACTGGCAAGATGTATGCCTGCAAGAAACTGGATAAAAAAAGGTTGAAAAAGAAAAGTGGAGAGAAGATGGCACTGCTGGAGAAAGAGATCCTGGAGAAGGTCAACAGCCCTTTCATAGTCACACTGGCTTATGCCTATGAGAGCAAAACCCACCTGTGTCTTGTTATGAGCCTCATGAATGGAGGGGATCTGAAGTATCACATCTACAACGTGGGAGAACGGGGTTTGGAAATGAAGAGGATCATCTATTACTCAGCTCAGATCACCTGTGGGATTCTGCATCTCCATTCCATCAACATTGTGTACCGGGATATGAAACCAGAGAATGTCCTCCTGGATGATAATGGGAATTGCAGACTGTCTGATCTTGGATTGGCAGTGCAAGTCAAAGAGGGAAAACCCATCACTCAGAGGGTGAGTACAAATTCGTTGAACATGGGAAGTGGGAAGTGAAGCTGTTCTATTTCTAATGCCTGATAAGTCCAAGACTTAATTCCCTGCAATTTATTCTTTGCTAAAGACCTTACATAGTCATTTCATTCTAAGAGACAGGTTGTAAGAAGATTTGGTTAATTGACTCTCTAACTGCTGCATGTAGTAAAATAACTTCTTTTGCACAGAAAGAGTAGAATCAACCTGACCTGTTGTTTCTCTTAAGCTCTTGAACCAATCATTTTAGGGGGGCAGATGCATTGTGCCTTGAGCAACCCTGCATAGTCAGAGATTTAACCAATTACTTTTTTAATGAGCAGCAGTCAAACATATGACTCCTTGTATTCCACTTTTGCTCCTAGAAGAATACAATTTCTTATACGTTACTCTGAAGTGATTGCATTGCAGGCGTTCGTGGTGCTGCACAATAAACCATTGCCGACCTTCCTCCTCCCCAAAAATTAAATCCTGGTAAAGTTAGCACATATGACAGTTTGCAAATGTACCTGCCTGTCTGCATGTGTAGGAAGAAAAAGATGGATGACCAACTGGATTTTGTTGTGTGAATTAGATTGTGCAGCACTTAGCTGTGCCTGTGGTCAGCCCAAACTCATCTGGATTTGTGATAACATCAGGAGGTTTACACAAGAAATATGTAGGTAGCTTAACTATGAAAAAAACCTATTTCTCTCAAGGTATCTGGAGCTTAAAGATATATATAATGAATGTGTCTGAAATACACTAAGAATATGAAGAAACAGAAGTGACATTATAATAACAACCTGGTCTAACTGCCTTATGTTAAACTCCCCAAGTCTTTCACTCTAGAAATTCAGTAGAAGAGAGGACCTTCTAGTGGCCTTTTGCATCATGCTTCAAATACACATTTTTGATGTCAGTAAATACAGTAATTTTGAAGGAAATTTTCTTTTCCTGGCAATTTAGGAAGTTTGTATTATGAGTGGTTTTAGTTCTCACTGAAAGAAAAGATGGAAACTGCTGAATGTATAGATAGTAAATAATTATAAAATGGGAATGCATAGTGTTTTGGATACAAAAATGCAGTTTCTATGAAAGCTAAGGCAGGTTTTTAAGTAGACCTTGCGTGAAATGGGAATGTTGTTTTGTTTGTGAAGATGGCATTTTGATCAGTGAACCCAAAGCTATAAAGTTACTGTGCTGTGCAAGTTCCAGATCCATGCAGTTACTATGGTCAGAAAAAATAATGTTGTTGAAGGGCAGTTTTTCTTACTTGTAAATATGTGGGGTTTGGCAGAGGGGAAAAAACCAAAATGAAACAGTGTGTTTAGCAATGTGTAACCACTTCTGTGGGTATGAGGGTTGAATCTCAAAGCAATATTGGTCACCTATGACAGTCATCAAGTTGTTAATGACTCTTCTTCTGTTGTTCACTGTTTTTAGAAGCTCTATTCACCATTGTGTGCTTTTTATTAGGGCAAAAACTGCAATGAATAGTGTAATGATTGTAATGCATTATAGGAATTTCTGTTAAATGCAGTTTTATTAATTCAGAACATTGAAATAATAAGAAAAAAAAGAAGGTATTTTTTTCATTTTCTGTATCATAGCTATGAGTGAGTTAAATCAATAATAATTCCCAGTGTCATTTTGCATTTCTGTAAACTAGTCATATTTGAATCCTTTGAAAGCTCCTCCAAAAACCATTTTATGAGGGCTAGATATTGTTATTATTTAAACTAATGTCATACACAGGAAGACCAAAGAACAGATTTACACAGTTTACATTAAGCTTCACCATGTACCTCTGTAATAAAATAAAAATGGTGTTGTTAAAGTAATTTTTGTTCACACTTCTATTGTGACTTAAAATCAGCAGAAAATTTACATCATAGCATGCTTTTTGAGTATGACTACCAAACTGTTATCACTTAAAAAAAGGTGATTTGTATAGGTTTGGGTTTTTTCACCCAAAAGGATATATGGCTCCAAGACAGGTTTATCAAATGAAACCTAATCAGTTCACCATTTTTTGAACACAGTTTTATAAGGGCATTTTTATAAGCCAAAGCAGAAAATATATTCCTTCCAGGCTAAATCTGTATTGTACTGGTATCTGAGTGAAGTGCCTAACATCATAGAGCTGTTTCTAGATTTTGGATGATGGTCTGAACTGACAATTTAAGGCTTACAATTTTCAGTCACTAATTAAGGGATATTACTACTAATCTATTTTGATGAATTCTGAAAGTTTTGTATACCTCTCGTGGGTGTACAAGCTATTAAAGATGAAATTTCTTATGCTTTTAAAGCATAAAAAAATTCCCAGCCCCTCATGTATGAATAAATGCACATCACCCACACATCACCTGGAGGATCCATTAATCCCTTTTCTAAATCTTATTAGGTGATTAGGTTGTCACATGGCACAAGTAATGAGCTAGTTAATGAGTTCCTGTTTTAGACATTTTCTAAGTTTTCAGTGAAGGTGTCTGTGAAACTATAATGTTTATATACTGTTCACCAGCCAAATTTTCTTTATGGGTAGAAAGGTTTTTTGACTTTTAGATGGGTGAGTTCAATGTGGTCTTCTTAAAAAGTAGTGTGTGTTTATGCTGCAGAAAAGGCATTGTGCAACTGGTGATTTAATACTTATGTAATTGAAGTAGCAGCCTTGCTATTCTTTAAGTATTGCCATTACATATACTCCTTTTGAAAAATAGTTGTGTGCTGTGTGCCAATTGCCTGCAACTATTGTAAATAAAAATACCCTGCTTTCAGAAACAGTGCTCCTTACAAAGATCTAGAAAGAGTTGGATATCCAGCCTTAGTTTTCTCCCCTTCTTCTCAATTGCTAAAGCATCCAGTAGAAACATCCAACTTTCCATGTGAATGTCACTTTGAACATACATAGGCAGTTGTAAGTAATTGGTACAGTAATAATGACAGAATTTAGAAAACTTTAATTTCACTATGTGTGCTAATTTGTCCCTGTGAAGTGCTAACTGGTTTTGGAATGGAGAAATCACCAAAACCCCCCCACACACACACAAATTAAAATAACAACAGTCTTGGAAATAAAAGAAAGTAGAAGGCAATTAAAAGCTACTTACAATGTATTTTTTTTCATCAGACATGGATTAGATGGGATCTTCTCGTGATACATACATGTACCTGTGCAATCTCCCAAGAAATGTATATATTCACACTTACTCAGGCAGAGCTCTTACTGATATCACTGGAAACAGAAACTCTTTTCCAGTGGTAATAAAATTATTCAGGACTTTAAGAAATATCATGATTTCATACAAATGTGCCTGTAGCATCTCATCTGATGTGTGGATCATTCTGTGCAAAAACTAGCTTGTATCTTAAAATTATGACTTTTAAAATGTTGATATTCTCTCTGTCTTACATAATTGAAATAGACAACAAGGAGGAACTGAGAGCCTGCACAGGTGGCTTTCCATACACCAAGTGTTTTGTCTAGGTATGTACCTGATTGATTCTTGAACTAGTTTTTTTCATATATGACAGAAACGAGGAGCCTCCATCCCAAGTTTCTCCATTTGAACAGTTTGATCTGTCATCTTTTTCTTGAAGTCTCTACAACTTTTTCTCATACTACTCAGAATTCACTTCTTGTGAGTCAAGTGCTCCTGCCCTTATCCAAAAAAGTAATACTTCTTCATTAGACCTTAATTAAACCTGAGAATGGTTGTGAGAAAAGTCAGTGTGTTCTTCTGTTTACTACCCTCATATCCTCTGCATATTGAAATATAGAGGACTTAATTCCATTTTTCCAGAAGTCAGAGTGTATTTGCCGTTTATTTCGGGAAGAACTTTCTGCCCTTACTGGGTTTGGCCTTTGTGCAAAGCAACTGTTGCATGTAAATGGTGAAGGACTTTTGTGCAGATGCGTGTGAGCCAGAGAGCTTAAATATTGACATAATAACTGCGAAAAATAACACAAACATATTTTTGTAGTATTTATAAAAGTGCATTCATATCTTCAGAGGTTTCAGGCTTCTTCACAGTTTTCCTGTGCTATGTTTTATATATTTGAAGGACATCATAATATTTTTATAGGAAAAACATGTTTTGGTTAAAATCTTACTCAAAATGTCCTTTTGCCCTCCTGTATGTTTGTTTATCATAAGATTCTATTTCTTAGGAAAACAGAAGGAAATCTATTTAGATGTTCCTGAAACTTGCAGTTTAATTTCAAGGCAGATGAGAAGCAGGAGGAGGGTTTAGACTTGTGAAATAAAAAATAACTCAGCACGCTATTCTACAGTTGACCTTTGTTCATTATCACATGGCATTCTTATTGGATAAGATTCTGTAAAAATCTGTTCTTCCCTTGCACTTCGAAAAATGACAGCTCCTTTGTTCAGAGAGGGACTTGCTGCTGTTTTGCAGTTTCAAAACCACCATTCTGCTTATGAATTTTTAAGTATGACATGTAAGATTGGTGTTTTTACTAGCAGAACTTTGTTCTTAAAAATTTTGACAGTCACAGTTGTTTTGAACTGCATCACCGTGACAGGTGTTTTGTTTTTTTTTTAATCTCTAAACATACACTTTACAGAATGAAGTCTTATCCACCACAAGTCTGTGGGGCCAGCTACGAGCTGGCACAGGTGCTCACGAAGCCACTTCCCATCATTTACGAGCCATCCTGGCGGACCAGGGAGATCCCTGGGGGACTCATTTTGGCTGGACATGAGCAAATGTGATACTCATCCACAAGAAGGGCCAGACAGCGGATCCAGGGAACTACAGGCCTGTCAGCCTGACCTCGGTACTGGAGAAAGTCATGGAGCAGATCATCTTGAGAGCTGTCATGCAGCACATACCAGACAACTAAGGGATCAGGCCCAGCCAGCACAGGTTTATGAAAGGCAGGTCCTGCTTGACCATCCTGATCTCCTTCTGTGACAGGGTGACCCACTCTGTGGACAGGGGAGAGAGTGTGGATATGTCTGCCTGGGCTGTAGTAA